TATTATTGTATTATATTATTATTATTACCACCTATCTGGCAAGCCATGACAATCAGTTTCAGGGAGTTAATTTTTTACTGACTGTTAAGAAGTGTAAATTATACCGATTATGTCCCTTGCTTCGATGCGCGTTTGCATTGTCCTCTAGTATTCCACTGAGTTGAACTGGTGATTGTTGGGGAATTCGCCATTATTAAAATTTTCTGTACCCCTTTCTCCAATAAGAAACAAACTAGGTATGCTAATTATAATTTCTGTTTTGTCTTGATTATTTGTTTGGTTTGGGGGGGGGGTGTCAAAGAAACCGGTATCTTCTATCTTTGTGTAGACTCGGCTTACCTTCTTTGCGTGGTTACCGGTTCATCTCTAAGTTACGGACGACAGTACAGACTGTGGACCTTAAAACTTTTAAACGGGATTGATCAAAGATGACAATTATGTCTATGATTGACGCACTAAATGTAATCAAGGGAGAGAATGTTAGAGCTTTAAAGACCAAGTAGATATAATGTATAGTAGTAGATCTCAATAGCAACCACTCGTTGCTGTTTCCACCTTTAAGAAATATGTTGTCGGCCGCTTCTGTGCGCTTTTTTTTACCTTTACATTCTATCTCTTGGTACAGGTGTCAACGTTTTTTTTCTTTTTTCATTCTCTTCTAGCCTATACAGGCTTCTAATTACGGCCATTATACCCCCTTGCGATGTGAAGCAAATTAAATACACGCGTTTTGCTCAAAATCTGGGTTATTGCGTTGTTGTTGTTGCAAGTGTACAAGTCTTTCGTTTCCTGCCCTGCCAATTGGTTAAATGTATCGGTGGTCCTTTTCTTTTCTTTTTTTTTTCGGGGGGAGGGGGGTTAAGTTCTCCAGTCATCACTATTAGAAATTTTCCTTTGACATACTTGATTTTCCGGAAAATAATTTTTAATTACGCAATTGTTGCTTGAGGGACTCAAAATTTAAAAAATATATTAAGGATGTTGATACAGCTGAAGCTGTCACGCGGGCAAATCCTGGCAAATGGCAAATGTGCAACAATGGAGGACTGTTGCAGACACCCGTCTTGGTTAGTACAGAGTGGGGTTTCCTTACTTTAACTTTGCCCAGCACCAAAAAAATGTTAAACGAAGAGACTACTGTTTTATTTTCCTGATTCAGATGCAGATCAGTGTCTGTCGCTTTTTCCATGAACTGTGAATGGTCACATCCTGAGACAGAAAGAATGTTATTTTTTTAGGCCTGTGCCTGTGACTGACTTGTGTTCACTCAGACTTCACTCTCACTTTCTCTTCTGCTAGATTTCTACTTTACTTCCACTAGAGCTAACATCTAGATTAGATCTTGATCTAGATTTAGATGTCTACTGAATTCTACTCACTCACACACAAGACTAGACTCTATATTGCATGTATCAACTACAATACAATAATCAGTAGGGCAATAATATTTGAGTTTGGATGATGAGACTCTTGGTCTGGTGGATTTGTTTTAGTGAAGTAAGATCGGACCCTCATTATGATATTTCCCAGATCAAGATCTAGATCTAGATAGGCCTTAACTTTTAGCTAGGCCAGATCTAGGAGAGGTATGATAATAATATTGAATATTGTTATCCAATTCGGCACTCTTCGGGAGAAGTGGTCCTGGCCTAACTCCATAAAAATTTGAACACTTCAGAAACAAAAACGGAAGTCGAGTAAAAAAGCTGGCTGAGTTGCCAGGGGGAAAAGGCCTCTCTCCAGTAAATTTAGAAAAGGTGGAAACCCACTTTAAACATTTGCTAAAATGTTATTTATCAGTAACTTCTTGAACGTTGGCGGCAGGCTGCTGAGGCCACTCAGTCAGTACTGTTAGTGTACAGCAAGCGACCCTGGAAAACTTGTGTTTCCGCCATGAATTACAATAGGGGTGTGTTAATGATGTTAATCAATTATAAAAATATCCCTCTAGATCTATCTTTTATGGCTTTTTATTTATAAAGTGTTGCGAACACATGAATGACCCCTCTCATAAGTTGATAAGTCAGTATGAGTAGTTGCGCCCTTTCAAATAACCTTTTAGACGCTCGTATTGTTACACGAATGATCTGGGGTCCTAATGGAAATAATACAGGTAAATTTCCAAATGTTTTGCTCTCAAATTTCTCTTTCTTTTACTTTCACAATTCAAAACTCTCAATAAGCTTAGGTAATATCGTTTTGTATAAAAAAATAAAGCTCATTTGAAAGATTTTGTTAAAGTAAAAAGTCTTGTTTCTTTGCTATCCTTTTGAGCTCCTCTTGTCTGAGTGGGTCAATTTGTTCTACTTAAATTTCATTGTTATGAACATCTAGGGGGGTCCTAATAAGGACCAGATTATTGGCACCCTGGGGGGTTTGAATAACGGCAACCTTTATAAAATAATACCAGGGCACCCAATGAGGAAAAAAATAAGCTAATGTAGAAAAATATATAGAAAAATCGAACTAAAAAAGGCCCCCCAAAAATTAATAAATACTCAGCCAGCCTTTTTACTCGACTGCCGTTTTTGTTTCTGATTGTGGATAGATTTCTATGGAGTTAGGCGATCCACTTCTCCCGAAGAGTGCCTCCAATTCTAGCCCATTTCTTTCATAGTCTAGAAAATCTTCTTGACAGTTCACTGTCGTCTTCTTCAAAGAAATTCACCAGAAACGTCCATACTGTACAGCAATTCTATGCACACACGAGTGCTGGACTGCCAATCGACAGCAGCCGTCAAATCTTTTCACCGTAGATTAGAAAAGTGTTGGTCGTCTATCCATCCTGTGTTGATGTTCAGATGCCCCACACTTTGCTGCGTCCCTAGATACTGTAACCCCCCCCCCCCCCTCCACCCAATCAAACTACAGTCGGGTCATTTTGGTGGACACATCCAGACGGAATTTTTTTATTGTTATTATAAAAATCAGTGCTCATTTTCAACTACCGATTTCACTAGAGCCAGACGACTTTTGTTCTGTTTGTTTCTTGATTGGTGATCACGCGCTCTTGATATCAATTTATGAAGAAAAGTTTTTAAATCTAGCCCCAATTTTGTGGAGAAAATATGATTAAGTTACAAGACAAATTGATACAAACTGCTGTGCAACGTATGGGTTACAGTGGTTAAACTGTTAGAGAGGTACTTGAGGAAAAAATCTGCTATGGATTTTTTACCGCACTATAGTGGTAACATCTTTGTTCCTTTATCAAGGCGGGTGGCTGGAGTGCGCCACTGGTATGTCCTACTTCTTTACTTTCTCCCAGCACTAGAT